AATAAACATGACGCATAAGTAATTAGTTTACCTCGGCATAATATAAATCATGTGTCTCATCTGTTATCTCAAGTGGAATTAATTTAACAAGTTGATCATTAGGAGTAGGTAGACCACCCAAGTATAAGCCATATACCGTATCATCAATACAATCAAATGGAATCCATTCCAAATAGACATCATTTGGTGAGTTTGTTTGTAATTGAGATTTCTTAATAAAGTCATTGAGTTGCTTATTGTTGCTAGTCCATCCATCTGATAATTGTTTATGTCCACAGATGCACCACACAGGACTGCATCGGAGTATTCCACATGCAGCGCAGAATCCATATCGGGAATAACAGTGGTAAAAGAGTTCATCCGCAACCATGTAATAGTTATCTTTATACTTGGTGAATCCTTTTATCATGCGGTTGCGATAATAAAGCCATGCGGAATGTCTTCTGAGCTGATTAACAACATTGTTGTACTTGTGTGTTGGAAGTGAGTATATTCTGGCAAACTCACTCACAAGTGTTGGTGTACATATCTCATCATTTCCAAGTGATAGCAGCATTATCATCGTTTCCTTCACTTCACCATTGTCTAGTGTGTATTGGCGAATAGCGTTGTAGAAGTCAACCTGAGTTGGCTTTATGTCGATGATTTCTTCGTAAGGAATCCATTCAAGTCGTAAGTTTTTATATTCACTTTCCAAGGAGGATTGAACCGGCTTGTCAATTCCTGGATTATCAGCCCCTGGAACTAATGACATCGTTTGAATGAGAAGTTTTAAAGTAAAGTATAATCACTGAGAGAGAGCATTCTCAACATTTATTGTGTTACATCACAGGACCTCCAAGGTGTTACAGTTTTGTTATCATAGTAAATCGCATACTGTTATCTATACAAGATGTTTATATCGCGAGCTTCATAATCGATATGTTTTCTAGTCCACTATAACGGATTCGACACCCGAAACGCTTAGGCAAGGTGAGTAGAATAGGGTTTGTTTCTTTGAATTGATTCTTATTTATTAGGTTTTGCAGAGACTATCTTTGCTAATAATACGGAACTGTCTTTTAAATTATCGCGTGAGGTAAACATATCGATGTGCAGCACATAAACTGCTTGGACTATACTATTGGACTTCCCACGTTATATTTTCGCTATATGAAACGCGACTTATTTTATACGTTGTCTATGTCTACTAGTTATCGTTATAAATCGGTAATCTTGACGAAGTGTGAGTATACGTGCTATACATATATATCATATCGTGATTTAAAGACAGCTACTTCAACTTGTTATCGCCTTACAACAATAATTTATAAAATTTTATTGTTAATTTTTTGGAAAAGCACAATCAATTAGCTTCCAAACCATATTATCCTTCGTATAGTACACATGTGCAGGAGAGATTTTTGAAAAGTAAGGCATTCCATATGTTTACTAGTAAATTTTCGTGGTGATCACTCATTTCTGCAGGGTACTGTACAAAAGAAGAAGCTTTAGCGAGCCTGTCAGCAGGATATCGTAGCTTGGAAATAAAGTCGCATTAATATCGTACAAAAGAAGAAATTCTGTGAAATGTTCAATACGCGCTTATATCAAAATCAGACTTGCACAGAAATTTTCAATAGTCATGTCAAGTAATTGAAACACGCAATCAGTCCAGTATCCCAATATTTCCAATAGTAGCAATTTGTGTTGACGCCACAGTATACCATATAAAATAAAACCTCTGTAGCTTAAACCATTACCACCAGCCCGTCGACTTTGTCTTATCGAGTTTGATATGTATATCGAAATTGATAATATTTAAACGATAGTAGTTTCTATGGCAAACGACATCTTATTTTTATAGTTGGATTCGTTCTTTAATCTGAACATTTCTTCAACACTTGCACTATTATTAGAATATTATTTATAATGATGTACCTCAGTTGGGGACCTGTTTCAGTTCTGGACCGGGACAACTGAGTTCTGGATTGAGTAACTGAGTTCTGAACTGAGGCAGAAATCAGACACAACATAATATTAAACGATATACATATTGGACATTAATTATCCCTGGCCACTTCAGCGATTCTCGCAAACCTTGAGTAGAATTGATCTTGTTCATCAATTCTCGTGATTGGCAAACACGATTGTTAATTATTACTAGTAGTATGTACTACCTATAATGTGTGCGTAATTTCAAGGTAATTGCATTGCTCGTTATGCCAATATTCTCATTTAATTGCAAATGAAGAGGGTCGATCTGTGACTTTTGAGACGAGACTGTGTATCTACACAATGTTGATTTTTGCGTCTTGATGGCATCAGCAAGCTCAAGTTTTATAGCGGGCGTACTTCTATCTTTCTCTTCTGGCCTCGGTTTTCTACAAATTGCATATAACGTGAATTGCGCTCGAGAAATTAATTTGTATCACACAAGGCAAGCCATATCAATCACTATTGGGTTTGCTCAGGTTATTAAGTTTATTCAAATGTTGCTTAGGGCCATTCCACTAACCGTTTTGTCCACACAATGCGAGTATCACACCTCAAATCTTCATCGTACTATTATGTCATGCTTCATTTAATCTATGGTTTCACTCCATATTGTGGGAAACTGTGACAAAGTTTATAATATATTTTGCAATTGCTCACCAAACCAATAGGAAGAAACGAAAAGCATCTATTGCTTTTGAGGAAGAATACAACTATCTTTGTGGAATCATTATTACGGCCACGGAGTGGCACTTCCTCCTCTACACTTCAGAAGGAATTTCATTACAAGTAAAAGTGAGTACCACGTAAGTCTCACCGAAGCTATTGTTAAAGAAGGAAAACATTAAGCAGGTAATGGGTTATGTTGGTTTACTGGAAGATAGAGCTGATGTTGAGGAGGAGCCAAAAGAAAGAGGCTAGGATTCAAGCATACCAGCCACGCAATGTTGTTTGTAAAAAACTCTTTATAGGCTTTTCATCACAACTTGTACATTATCTCGTAAAGATTCGGTACTGATTTATCAAGCTTCCTACCGATTTATTAGGATAATGAATGTCACTACTATGCAATATTTGGCAAAATATGGAGACCGCACGCTAATTATGATCTAAAATATTTCACAAAATTTCTGGAAACCCCACTAAAAGAATTTAAAGTATTATTCGATCGAAAAAAAGACCGTAATAAACAACCTACGCACTTGAGATAAAATATATGGACATCTAAAAAAGGTTCTTCCCAGTGCTCGTTCAAGTGATAATACAATCGCGGGTCTGCCAAAATCAAGTTTCAATCTTACAGCTAAAAAAAATGCCTGAGCTCTCAATTTCTTCATCTTCTGAATTTCTCATTAAAGTGAATTTGATATATACTTTTTACAGCAAAACTCCAAATGTCGCAAGAAAAATTGGAACAATAGAGAGTCAATATTGCCTTTGAATTTCGGGATAATACTAAAAAAGAACGCGAAAGTATGAATAAGGATGATTATTAAAATATAATAATAGCGGGAATATGAAGCCCGCCTTGGTATTCCTACTACTCCATGCAAAAAAGAATTAAGTGATCTTTCTTTAATATCTATTGAATACGTATAATGAATCTTAATTAATATGAATCAGGCAAATTTTTTGTGTCTAAAATTGTGGTGCAACTAGTTATTTATCCAGGTAATGGTAAGGGAATTGTTATTTTCTTACAATACAAAACTAGTACATACACAAAATGTTTAATCGAAAAATAATTTTCTTATAGTCTCATCTTATTTATGTGTTTGCTCCATAGTAAAACATATTATGTAGCAAATTTTATCACAGCTAAAAACGTGCGGATTCCCTGTCCCGTTCACATAATTTTTATCGATATCTAAAAAGGGTTCAATCCGTGCGGATTACTGTCCCGCTCACATTAAGGATTTTTATATTTATATATATTTTTTATTACGCTATCTCTATCAAATATTCGCTGTCCCCTTTCATGACATAAAACGGGAAAACAATATATTATAATAGCAAAAAAAAAATAATAACTTGATATCTCTTAAATAGAAATGACGTCTTCATCATAACGTTTTCTGGGCATAACACTAAGAAATATAATTAGTCAGGCTTTGGATAAAATAATCACTATTATAACTTATTCCAAAAACAGAAACCGTTAGCTAGAACGGCGATTAGATCCAGCAAGCGATAAATTTTTCGTAGCATAAATTACTCGCTCGATGTAAAGAATGTTCAGCACGTAATGACATCCTTGTAACAATGTCTAGTTTTGCAATAACATATTTACATTATGATTAAGCCAGTTCTGGTGATAAGTAATAGTCTTGGGAACAAACTTACAAGCTTTTGTCTCTTATCACATGTTGCTCCATGGTCATGGTAATTTCATCCGTTAAGATATGACTTCCAATACTGTATGACGGAGATTAACCCAGTAATGAGGCCGTGCGTTGTTCTTATATCGAGGTAATATTAATTTCTGCTATCTCTCTAGAGCCACAGTTCGAGAACAAGTCGACTACGCAATCAAAAAAAAAAATAGATTCATTAAATAAGGAACATGTTTGCATCACTGAAGGAAGTAAGATCAAGACGAATAAATCTGAAGCTTTCGAAGACGATTACGACTACCTCTTCGACTACCTCTACACTCTTATGTTCAGAAAAAATTTTAGCTAACTCTGGTATCTTACGAATAGACGGGGGACTGGTACTTTATCATGTACATACAGAAAGAATTTATTGCACAAAAGCCGACTACCACATCGCCCTTACTGAGGATATTTTGGAAAATGATGCGAAACTGCGCCGAGGTGTAAAGAAAGTGATTGTGGGTTTGTTGAAGGATAAGATAAAAGTTGATGACACATCAGATAGTGAGGACAAAAAGATTTTATTATGCCTGTACATTAGCATAGATATCACGTATCGCAGGCTGTGACAGATTTTTGTATACTTTATTTTTTATTTCTATTTTGTGGAAGGGATCGAACAATTAGAATTAATGAAGGGCATGATGTAAATTTCCATTTGTAAAGGATTATAATGTAAGTGTAAATGTTAATTGACAACACTTAAGCGCAAGCAAATCCTAAATCTCACCTCCGGCTCCTAGAATTATGATGCAAACTTCCAATTATCACCGCAAAGATTTTCTTCAAGTTCCCGTCAACTTTCTATCGTGTCGTGTGAAAGCGTCTTGCTGTAACTGGTATCATCGTATCCCGATAAAGTTTCTCGCATTTTTTATGTACAAGTTGGAATAAGAAAAAATCCGAGCATTAGTATCTTATTGAATGAAGGCTCAGACAAACAATCAATTAATGGGCTAATCTCACTCATAAGCCGGCCATTTATAATGACTCGCCATCACTGGCTTCCGACAGAACAATCTGCCCGCAGACGCTTTGAGTGACAATTAAACCCACAACAATTCTGGCAATAAAATCTAGCCGGCCATTTATAATGACTCGCCATCCGACAGAACAAGTCTGCCCGCAAACACTTCTTTTATGCTTAATAGAATTGCTGATAGATTCATGCTAAAAAAATTTATTAAACTTACTTGATTGAAATCAGCAGGTGAGAATTGTTGGAAGTTATAGCATCTTTTTTTCTGGGACTTTAGCTTTTAGGGGGAAGAAAGGACTCTTTGATCAGATTTCGCAGATTGTCTATAATAAATCAATTAGTGAGCAAATATCCGAAAATTGAGATCAAGCTATATATAAAAGATATATTTGATGAAATTTAGTTTATGGTAATAGATGGGTAAGCTATAAAACTCATTTAGGAGATATTTGCCTTTTTTCTCTCATGTTCGAAAAAAGATATAAATAGTTATCCAGTTAAAAATAATATATTGATAACTATAATAATCTAGCTTCGAGTAATAAAATTATGAGGTGGACCCAATTTAAAATCTTGTAACAAATGACTCTCGTTATCCCTTAATCTGTAGGCCAATTTTTGGCAAATTTGACATGTCATACTTGATTTATACTTACTTTGTATTTGTTTTATATAATATAATATAAGGTTTATTTAATCCGAGTTTTATTATCCCAGCAAAAATACTTTCTTATATTGAAAGTTTTTTATATCGAAGGACTTGTAATTGACTGTCTGTGAAAAATTTTCTTCTCACATAGCTTTTTTGTTGTTCTGTGTTACTGATGTCTTCAAACGAGAAACAGAAACAACCAAGAAAAACTGCACAAAAAACCTCAAAAAAACGAAAAACCATTGAAGCCGAAAGTACATGCTCTTTTCCCACCGTCGCCAACCCAAACGCATTGCCAGGGAAGACTCAGAGTTTGCGAGAGCCACTAGAAATTTCTGGCTCAGTGCTAGTTATGGCTTAGAGGACCTCCCTTCTTCCGCATCTGCTTCCAAAGCACGAGATGTGGAGGCACTAAGAGTGAACTTCCTTGGAGCTTCAGCCGAGGACGTTGTTATACCCGAGACTGAAGGTACAAGCTACCACAATGTGTCAGCAGTCCTTTCACCCTAATGCTGATAATTTAATATTTTCCAGTCACCATTCCAGAAGCGTATGTTCGACCTGATATTAATGGCGAAATGCTTTCAAATATCAGATTTCGCGTTGCAAATGTTGATGGACTTACGGATAAGAAAGTTCGAACGTTCTTTAAGAAATTGCATAAGGTTGTCGTGAATAGTGATCGGACAGGTACCAGCGAAACTTACACAGATACACTTGTGGACGATCTTCTTCGTATTGCTCAGCTGAATGATTGGCCCTTTAGCGTCAGGTGAGTAAGTTTTGTTTGTGATAAATAAATACAATGGTTCCTCAAGTTACATTTTCAAAATCCAGCAATCACCCTCTATGCAAATTATACATTGAAGATGATCCTTACGTGTCATCAGACCCCGAATTTGTAATAAATAAGGAAGACGAAAATATGGAAGACTTTGCTATTCTTGTGGTAAAGGTATGTTATTGGCCTTTGATGGTTTATGATTTTTGTCGACTCAAACAGCTTTTTAACAGGACAAACACCTGAAAAATGTCGGGCCAAGCACTGGATTTGGGGAAACACAGATTGCTATGGAGATTCTCGCTTGTGTTAGTGAGAACATACGTTCCCTTGGCGAACAGTATATAGATCAGACATTCTGGGTTATTCGTGTAATTTCTTCATACGTTACGTTTTATAAAGCGCAGATTCCTGCAATGTATTTGGTGGAGCTTGAAAAAGGCCTACCACAACAACAGTCAGTTAAGGTTCAAAGATGGCCTGCTAATAATGGTTTGAGGTCTGGTTTTGACCTTGCTGAGCCAGAAGGAAGACAAGTAGTGTTGACGGCATTGGCCAAAATTCATGAATCACTTTCAAAGGAGTCGGAGGGGTCAGAAGAGTAATGATGAGGAGAATTAATTTAGTTGTACTCAGAAGCGTGCTTTATTTCATTCTAATAAGGAATTTGTATTTTTCATTTGCATTAAAATGATAATTTTCATGTCAATTGTAATTATTTCTCAGGGTCGGGCTTGTCATCGTGAGGTAATATTTTTTAGACATCTGTATATTCGAGGCCGAAAGAATAGATAGTTCGAGAATTTTTCTCGGCACTGTCAGAGTCATGTGATTTAACAACCTTTTGAATATATCCGCATTGTTGCGGTCAATGAAGGGTATGGGGGAGAGCGTCTTTACGTAGGCGGGTTCAATCGACCGGGGAACGTCCAAAATTAGCTCAGTACCACTACCTTTGCTATATATAGTGGCGTCAAATTAATGACTGAATTAATTCTAAGTGACATTTTCTTTTATTCGGAACGTTTTAATTATGCGCACGCTTCCTATCTCCATAAACGATTATTTCCGATAATCGTCTTTGCACAAAGGAAATCCGTGGAATTAAATAACAACGGTTTAATTTCCGTGGAATCGAAGGGGAATAATATTATTTAAATTCTAATAAGGTAGATATATTCTCCGGTAAATCACCCCATTTTCTTTTTTCAAATATTCTTGCCTGTCTATAAAGATTCTTCCATTGTTTATAATATCTTTTATGTAATTCGCTAGATCTTGCAAGACGGATATGAAGCTTTACTAGATTATCCATTTGCCCACTAATTGACTTATAATTTTGTAGACAAGTTTATGCCTAACTCTCCAATTTATTCCTGAATAAGTGAAACCATTAGTTGGTCCATATATAATATAATCGTTCTCGCTCTTTTTCGATATATTCTAATCGTTCTTTTATAAAATTAAGATCATCATGGAATCGGATAAAGAGAGCCCGAGATGCTTCTGGATTCCATTGATGATTTACAGTGAGACAAGAATAAAGATCCCCGTATTCAAGATTGGCGAACATTTTTTCGAGCAATTCTGGTATAGCAAGTGGTTTTTGTATAGGGATAACAAACATATTGTATATATCAAACGTGTGGATTTTATTAACTAACTAAGACTTTTTATTTAATTGTTATATTTATTATCGTTCGATCATAAAAAATAGATATATACATTACAATAAGTAGAATGATTTAGTGTGATATTTATTCTTCGGGAATTTCACAATCACCATATAAATATGTCGTTATATTATCATTAGCTATCCACAATTTCATATCTAGTGGATTAACACTTCTCTTTGTTTGCTTTATTCAATACATTTGGTGTTTGTAACTTCGAAGGAATTGTACAGATGCAAGTTTTTGCATTGTTTGCACATGAAATAATTTTTACCTGATCCAAATCAAATGACTGAGCATCTAACCTTTTGAGTGTTACTCTCGTCCATTCATATGTTATCCGTTCATTCGTTGTTGGTTCAAGCCAATATGCTATATGTATGCATTCATGGTGTAATGATGTTATCTCTTGTATGTTTGCCAATAGAGAATATTCTATTCATCATCCCCTGTATTCTTCCATGATCCCATAATTAATGAATCCAATGACTTGTTGCCAGTTGTCCAATCAAGAGATCTTGGTGCCTTACAAAAACCACAGAATGCATCTATCTTAGATAATAACTTATTTGTACATGCCAGACATAATCCAATCTCATCTCGTTCTTTTATTAGACAATACTTCTGTTTACTTGCATCATATGTAAATCCAAAGGCCCAAACATTATTGATAAGAATATCGGAATACTCATCACATAACTAGTGAGAAATAATATGTTATGAAGTCGTTAATTATTATCCAAGCAATTCAACAAACTCATTGATGATATAATTAACAAATTGAAATAGTTTACTATTACCTTATCATAATACGAATCATCTGCCTCATCCGTTATTTCAAGCGGAATCAACTTAACAATTACAGACCTGGAAGTAGGTATATCACATAAGCATCCATATCCATATCCTACATGAACATCAGTGCAGTCGGATGGAATCGAGTCGCTTATTATTGCTAGTCCATCCATCGGATAATTCTTTATGTCCACAGATGCACCACACAGAACTACACCGAAATATTCCACGCGCCGAGCAGAATCCATATCGAGAATAATAATCGTAAAGCTCTATATCAGCAACCATGTAATAGTTGTCGTCATACTTGGTAAATTCCCATATGAATCCGTTGCGATATTCAAGCCATAGAGAGTATCGTCTTAAATGGCTGACATCATCATCATTGTACTCGTCTGTCAAAAATGAGTATTTTCTGGTAAACTCGCGAACGAACGTTGGTGTACATATCTCATCACTTCCAAGTAGTGAAAGTATTATCATGTTTTCGTCGACTCTTCCATTGTCCTGTGTGTGTTTGTGAGTAGCGTAATGAACGCTGCCAATTTGACTTGGCTTTACAACGGTAATTTCTGAGTAAGGAATCCATTTGAGTTTAGAGGATTGGATCAACAGTACAGTGTCTGTAACCTTTTTCTATGGTCTGCATACGAATTCGTGGAATCTGATTGGTTGTATTTTTTTGTATGCATTCTTTTCCCATACACTATACTATAAAAGACTAGTTTCAATAATCCTATGGCTAACAGACGTGAAACTGTTACTAGTACTAGTGAGATTTAACTACATACAGTATTCCAATATTTAAAGTCAGTTAACGGACAACAAGAGCAAAAGACCCCCCGTCTTTTTGCAGGCTCGGGTGAGAAGTACAGTGAAGTCGGCTTAAAGCCGTGCGAGACAAAGATTGCGGCTTGCTAGTACTTCAGAAGCAGCCAAACGACTCGCATTCACAATCATTTTTCTGAACTTCCTAACATTGATTCTTGTTTAGGATCTTATTCAATCTGCGAAAAACATAGAACCAGACTATTGCTACCAATCAACTTTGCCAACATCTAACATTGATAGGTTCCGTTCAAGTTTATTAAAACTCTGACTTATAATGATTTCAACGTAGGTTCTTCAAACTTTATAAAAGTGCACGAATTTTGTTTGTTTGATTTTCTATCAAAAACCATGATCTCTATAAATGTAATATCGATATGTTCAAATAAAAATAGCTGTTTTAATTAACACGAGCGTGTAAGCAAGAACCATGAACAAGTTTGCAGCAGTCAATGTGTAATTTTGAACATTCGCAAGCTTGTGAAATGAAGACTAAACAAGTTTATAATGACTATGACTGCAGTTGTGTTGCCTACCCTTTTAAGATTGATGTCAGCGTCAGCAATAGAACGCGTACCATAAGGACATGTAAAAAAGTTGTACATTCTCCTCGTAGAGTGAGCACTATCTACATCAAACGATTATAAAAGTCTTTGGCATTAGATTATAGAATTATCGGTTAAAGAAAGATGTCTGCAGGATTTGTAACTACTGCTTGTTTGTACGTAAATTGGAATGAAAGACGATGTTCAAAAGACTATTGTAAGCTATTCATAAACTTGTAACATTGACTCGAAACATTGTGTATAAAAATATCGGTAAATCACTGAAAGTTTTATATCGATATGCACAATGATAGCCAAATCGGTAAATTGGCCAATGTACACCACATGAATGGCATCCAGGAGTAAATCTGAACAGTTTGCTCAAAGTTCCAAATCGCTCAAAGAGATGATGATCGTGCGTTCGAGAATCAATAGACATTCAATACGATTAACACTGTTTATTGTCGTAATTACATTGTTGCAATGCGCTGCGGTAAAACGGGAAGACTTTCGTACTTGCGCTCAGACTTCATTCTGTAGACGCAATAGAGCCTATGCTGATCAAATATCTGACAATAACCTCATATCACCGTACATTGCCACCCGCGAATCGTTAAAATTAGATGGAGGAATATTATCCGGAGAGATCGTAAATACTCTCACTTTGATTAAATTTACATTTACGCTTGATCTGCTGGAAGGCAACATGGCAAGGTTACGTGTTAATGAGAAGAATCCAATCGCAAAACGATACAGCCAGACATCGAAATACGTTCTGGTTGGAGAACCAAAGACTACCAAACATTATAGAATTTTTGACACCGAAGATGATCCATTGGTCATGAATATTGCATTTGGTGATGATGAGCAAAACGAACTTCTTGTCTATTGCAGTCCGTTTCGAATCGAATTTTATCGGCAAGATAAGGCCGTCGTGGTTTTAAATGAAAGGGGTTTACTTAATTACGAGCATTTGAGGGAGAAAGCAGCTAAACCGCAACCACCATTAGTAGATCAGTCGGGAGAGGGAGACAATACAGAGGTAAACAATAATGAAAGCGCAGAAGAAGAAAAAGAAAAAGAAGAGGGGTTATGGGAAGAGACATTCAATGGAAAGGTTGATTCAAAGCCACGAGGCAAGTAATAGGTGTGGTGATGGGTGTACAAAGGACGTAAAAAGTGGTAGTCCCATTCTTGTACAAAGTGTGTAGACGCTTGGTTCAAAGTTTTCATCTTTTACGCGTTAACTCATATTATGTTCTTCGTTAGGCCCAGAATCAATAGCAATGGACATAACATTTTCGGGAGTTGAACATGTCTATGGCATACCAGAGCACGCTACTTCTTTTTCACTAAAAGAGACACGTGGCGGAGATGATGCCTATACAGAACCCTATCGTCTATATAACCTGGACGTATTCGAATACGAGTTGGATAACGCAATGGCATTATACGGATCAATTCCGTTCATGATTGCTCATCACAGTGATTCAACGGCAGCAGTTTTATGGTTGAATGGAGCAGAAACATGGATTGACGTTGTTAAAAGTAAAAGTAAAGATTCGAAAGTAAGTATCTTGTAATGCAATGTTTACATTAGTATTTATATCTTCCAGCAGATGATAACCTCAAGCATACTGCGATTGCGGGATAATTCTCCCAACTACTTGTCGTCCAAACAGGCCGAACCTCTAGTTCAAACGCATTGAATGTCTGAAACGGGCATCATTGACGTTTTTGTGTTCCTTGGTCCAACTGCTTCTGACATTCTTAAATCGTACGCTACCATTACTGGATTCACGCCTCTTCCAAGACAGTTTGCCATTGGTTATCATCAGTGTAGATGGAACTATATCAACAAAAATGACGTATTAGAAGTGGATGAGGGGTTTGATAATCATGGTATACCATATGATGTTATATGGTTAGACATCGAACATACAGACGGAAAAAAGTATTTCAGCTGGGATCCGACGAAATTTGCAGAGCCAGAAGAGATGTTGGAGGAACTAGATCGGAAAGGAAGGAAGGTAAGTTGTATCGTGTAAAATTGGTTAGGGAAATGTTTGAGCATTTATTTAATATACTACAACGTATCCATATGCTACAAAGGCAGTGACAATCGTAGATCCTCACCTGAAACGAGACGATGACTACTATGTATATAAAGAAGCCAAGGATAATGATTTACTGATCAAGAAATCCGACAATACTGTATTCGATGGGTGGTGTTGGCCGGGAAGTTCTTCCTGGGTAGATTATACAAACCCTAAAGCCCAAAGGTGGTGGGCGGGGAAGTTTGGGTTTGACCAATATAAAGGATCTAGAGACAATCTGTTCATTTGGAATGACATGAACGAGGCAAGAAGATTTTACATCCATGTTGCACAAAATGAGAAACGTTCTGTGTGAAATATAACATACAAATTCATTGTGACTCTAAATTTAGCCTTCTGTGTTCAATGGACCCGAAATCACGTTCCCCAAGGATCTAGTCCACTACGACGGATGGGAACATCGAAATGTACACAACATCTACGGTCTTTTATTAGTACGCTATTATTCCACTTTCCCAAACTCTTTCAATTCTTCACGCAAAGGAGGCACTGACTAATTTTTAATGCGATTTATGTAGCATGCAGCAACGTCAAGAGGAGTTCGATCCCGCACTGATCCTCCACTCCGCCCGTTTGTTCTCTCTCGAGCATACTTTGCTGGTTCCCAGCGATATGGTGCAATTTGGACTGGCGATAACTATGCGAAATGGTCTCATTTGCGAGCAACCGTTCCCATGCTTCTATCCAACTCGATCGCCGGAATGGCATTTGCCGGAGCGGACGTTGGTGGGTTTTTTGGCAATCCCGAACCGGAATTGTTGGTGAGATGGTATCAAGCAGGAGCTTTCCAGCCGTTCTTTAGAGGTCATGCACACATTGATACAAAACGAAGGGAGCCGTGGCTGTTTGGAGAAGAAAACACAAAGTTAATTAGGAATGCCGTCAGAGAGAGATATGCGTTGTTGCCACTTTTGTATAGTCTTTTCTACGAGGCCAATGTTACAGGATTGCCTATTATGAGGTAAAGACGAAAGAGGAACAACTTTGGGGGAGGATGACTGGGGATAATTAGGTGTAAACATTTTTCTCTAGATATTCGCGTGATATTAATATATTTTGCTCTCTCTCCTTAGACCAATGTTCTTAGTCCATCCTTCAGCTAAAGAGGCTTTTGGAATTGATGACCAATTCTACGTCGGTGACTCTCTCATTGTAAAACCTATTACTGCCGAAGGCGTTGTGGTCACAGATGTTCATCTTCCAACTGATGATCTTTACTACGATTACTGGACATATGTAGCAACCAGTGGGCCTGGTAACGTCCAAGTTGACGCGCCTCTGGACAGAATACCTGTTTTTATCCGTGGTGGATCGATAATCCCCCGACGACAGAGGTTCAGGCGATCTTCTCATTCTATGCGATATGATCCGCTTACTCTAGTAGTTGCCTTGAATAGGAAAAGAGAAGCTAGCGGAAATTTGTATCTAGATGACGGAGACAGTTATGATCACTTGGATGGCCATTATATCTATTGCAGATTTACGTACAAGGATAACACCTTAACGTCCGTATCAAATGGCGGAAACGCAAGCAAGAATAAGTTTGCCAAGACGATAGATGGTGTGAGAGTGGAAAGAGTGATTATTGTTGGTTTGAAGAAAAAGCCGGAAAAGATTGTAGCTAGACATGCGGGAGACAAGAAGGGTGTTGAACCTGTATTTTACTGGGGACGCAAGAATGTCATTGGAACTGGAATAATTCATACGAATACCAACGAAGACGTGTTGGTCATCAAAAATCCGAACTTGCTTATTCACAAAAACTGGGAAATTGAGTTGACTGTTCGTCAAGACTGGAGATACTAAATAAAAAAAAAAAAAATCAATAGAGCAGAAAATAAAAGGCTAAAATAAATTGGCGATAGTATAGAATTCTCTGCGCGATTATAAGAACTGAATTAAAAAATAAAAATAAAATTGACAGTCATTTGGTAATTGTTAACAATCCGATTTTTTTGCAATTGCACAAGCCTTTAATTGAGAAACAAATTTATTTCACCCTGACCAGCAACACATTGACTCATTAATGTTGGTAGAGACGATATTTTAATTCCATAAAACTTGGCTATCGCAGGGACTTTTATTCAACTTGGCGAACTCTACTTACTCGTCATTTTCACCTCTCTGTCTTCTTCTAATATGGTATAGATCGGCACCCAGTTACATTCGAGTTAACCATTTTTGGGATATTAATATTTGTACCCTACCTTGAAGTCTTTTTGTCGGTATTTCTATGGTCTGTTTATCACATTTCTTTTTTCAGTGATCTGTCGTCCAAGTGTCGGTACATTTATCGATCTAACGGCTTTCAACTGTAGGCGCGTAACAAAGAAAAAGCACAATCAATTCTTTACCGTTTCCGCGAAGCTCAGGCTGCAGAGCTCGGTCTTATAAGACAAAAGGAGCGAAGACCGTACCTAGCGTCAGAATGTAATAACAGGCAAGAAGCAGAAAAGTGGCGACAACAGATCGTTAGAGAGATTTCGAGGAAAGTGTCGAAAATTCAGGATGGTAAGTGTTGTGAATGAAATACAATTCGAAAGACAGTGAGGAATTTGACGAGTCACTGAACAAACCACTAATGGTGATCTTTATTAGCTGGACTGTCCGATTATCAGATAAGAGACTTGAACGATGAGATTAACAAGCTTATGAGAGAGAAGGGACACTGGGAAGATCAGATCAAAAGGCTGGGAGGGCCCGATTATAAGGTTTGCATTGGAATTTCTTTGGTCGAATTATCAACGTTATGATAACCTTATTGTTTTGGCCGATTGGTAGCGGATTGGGCCAAAAATGCTCGATTATGAAGGTAAAGAAGTACCAGGCAATAGAGGATATAAGTAAGTATAATTGTCCAAATTGTCGTAATATTCAATTCAACGATCTCATCAGGGCCCCTACAATATGTAATTCAGATACTTTGGTCGAGCAAAAGATTTACCTGGTGTGCGGGAATTATTTCAACAAGAAGGTTTGTTCATTAGAGGTCTGCAACTCTTCAGATGCTTGCGCAAGGTTCTAACGATTGAATTTAGCGCCGGATCTTCCAAAAAGAACACGGTTTGACTTGTACAAGAATGTGGATGCCGATTACTATGGTTATCGAGACGAAGAAGATGGGACGTTACTGGAATATGAAAGAGAGCGGCAAGCTCAAGGTACAAGATGAGCGTTTGTCTTTAACTTGAATGGCTATTGTTTTGACCTTGGCATAACGTTCGTTGCATTCTAGTGATAGCAAAAGCTCTAGCGCTACCTGACGGAGCAGAGCCGACGGACAAATCTCTCCAAAAACAAAAACAAGTCGATGCACGAACATCACTGATGGATATAGACCAAGAGGAAAAATATGTGGCTCACGTTGCTGTGCCATCGCAGAAGGAAATCGAAGAGTATTTAGTGCGAAGACGAAAGAGACAAATGTTGGAGAGATATACAGAAGTCTCTTGATAATTTTAACTACACGGCCGAAAAATAATTTAGCTGATAATCATGAGCATTGGCGGTAATGGACTGTACATCTCATCGAAATACCTAATAGAAACAAGTTATGGTGCGTCCGGCTTGGTGATAGAAAATGAAGTGACGACGTGCGGGTTTACGTCTGTTCACAATTCGTGAATTCCTATGAAGACTATCAGCAAATATTGCGAGCTTTTGTTTCCGCATTGATTCTTTTTTTTTCTTTTTTGAATTTATATCGTTTCAAATAAATATAGTCTTGTTCGAACGATACAAACGATATGCGAACCAAATCCTTCATGAGGTATATAGTGTTTCAAGGCTTATCAGCTTCCAAATTTCCTCAAGATATGATCTCGAGTTTATTTCGTCCTATGGATATCATATGATTACTAATTTTACATTACTTAAAATAATTTCTGCTAAGGCTTTACTGTAATTATAATCTTAAACTTTGATTTCTATGCGAATGGTTTCAATTTGCCGACAAATGCACAATGTTCACTAGCTTATCAATTATATATATTAATTGAATTAAAGGCGCCATATTCGTTACGATTACAATTAGCAAGTTGACTCTTGGAGCTAGTCTTATGTATCGAAAGAACGCAGGCGGAGTTGGGACAACTAAGCATCCAGCAAACGTGACGCGAAGATTCCTTTTTGGCGTTGTCAACTTGGAAAATAAAAAGGATAAAGATCTTGTCGAATAAGAAATTGCAAACATTAAAATAAGCTGTTCCACAAAAAATAAGGCTAGGCCACCCACTAACTGGTGGTTTTCTCTGTAGCCGACACTTCCTTCTTGCTTAACAAAAACTATTACTTATAGATAAGAAGAAATAATCATTCAACCCACCGATTATGATTTCTTTTAGTTGCTCGAAAATTAAGTGCAGACGACGACGAGATATTGTCGCGACTTTTTGAGCGATTGATATCAAACTGTGACACTCACATGCTTATCGTTAGCCAATTATTGGTAGAAAGAACGCGAGGGCGAGAGTATGACTTACTACTCCATACAAAAAGAGCTAGGTGAACTTTCTTTAGCGTTTATTGAATATGTATGATTGTTGTCCTTGGTTTAAATAAAATAAGAGGTTTCTCGTTATTTAGCTAGGTACAGTAATGGTAAGACGACTGTTATCATCCCTTACAAAATGTACTATATAGGGAGAGTCGATTGTATTTCCACATTTACTAGCAAACACTTTCTAAAAAGTAATAACGGTTTATCATGTCCGATTTATCAATAACTAGTTATAAAATTTAATGGAATGCACTAATTGTGCAAGTATTATTACCCTTGAATCTATTCGGTGCAGGTGCGTTAATAATGAAGCAGATTAGTGTGCATTGTGTAGTCGTGTACCGCACGTTAGTGTGGAGGCCGGTGGTCGATTGCGCTTTGAAGGAGAGGAGGAGAAGCGAACGTACGTGGTCGATAAACTATGTTGTTACAGGACCTGTTCGTGAGTTGTATCGCACTAACAACAAAGGTCTGTTGCGTCGTGTCGTATGTGCGTAATATGATGGGGTGGCGACAAATATGTATTGTTGTCTGTTCATCTAGTAATAACAAAGAAATATGAGTACTGCATCATCATAATTGACCATTGAAGAACGTTCACAGCAGGCCGGCAG